CCCTGTTCAATTCCCCACTTGCCCTTTTTCCATGATTTCAAGTGCTTAGGAAGAACAGAGAATGTATGCATAGTGTGCACATATGATCAGAGGTCTCTTCTGGGTTCTATAGAAGAAATTAATGACCCTGCATTGCATCTGAGCTCTGAACTCTGTCCATTGCTTTCTGCATACCTGAAGAAAGAGTTTGAAGTTGTTCTGACTAATTGATTTGGCCACTGAAAGACCTTTTTTTCTTCATTCTGGAGACAATATAACTCAGGAAAGGAGGAATTTCCAGTCAAGGTAGCAGAAGGCTATGAATCACCAATCTTGTGGTGCACACACAAGCACCTTTCAGCTCTCTAATTCTGGCTGTCTGAACATGTGAGCAGCAAACCATATGATGTGCTGGGCTTGATTTTTGTGTGCAGACAATCAGATGCCAGCCAGTCAACAGGGGAAGGAGTAGTAAAAGGGCAGGTACTTGCACTCTGAAAATAAAACACTGGGTTTATGTTTATTAGCATAAGTAAATAAGTAATAACATAGTAAGTGTAACATACTACGATAATTTTTCTGTTGCTTACTCCTCTTAACTTCACCAGTCTTATCTATAAAACCACAAAGTATTAGCCAAAGAAAAGTGAAGACCATGGCAGTAGTCTAACAGCAAAGACAGCACTGGAATAACAAGGCTAATCACCTATTTGTTAGTCTTACTGTTTATTTTATTACAGGTCAGTGAACAAAAAACAGTCACGAGATGTTAATCTCTCTAGCTGTTTAATCTTAACCACCCCCTCATCATTGTTCTCTCATGGGCTCAGCAGCAATATCCCCTCCTTCCCTCTTGTAATGACCTCATTTCAAAGTGCAATTTCTCTCTGATTTGGCTTTTAAGGGGTCAGACTGATGCTGTTTGAGCTGGGATGAAATGTGCTCAGGTCCTGTCACTGGCTGCTGCCTATGGTTCTACTGAATTTGTTTCAGTGGAGACTCACCAGTTAATTTGTAATTTGTAAATGTATTGAGCTGTGATTAGTGACAGCCCATCTAGTGAATAGGGAGTGTTGTTAGGCAGCACAGCATGGACATAAGAAGTAAACTGTTAGAGACGTGCAAATGGGGATTGGAAGAGAGACTTCAGTCTACTGGCACTGTGCTACTTGGCACTGCAGGGAGATGCTTTTTCTTTAGCTGAGCCCTTCACCAAAATAAGAAAGCAGGATGGTTAAAGGGGAGTGCTGAGAGGCACAGCCCAGATCATCCTGCCCAAAGCTGGATCGTGTATGGGAGTTGCAAAGCACTGTGGAAAAGGGAAAGCGTGTTCCCTGCCTCTGAAGTGCTGCATCCGCTCATTGTCTCTAGAAGTAGCATAGTGCATTGAGGAGCAGTAGGGATGCACTGGGAGAATGTAAGCTCCCAACACACTGGCAGGAGGAAGCAGGAGAGAAGTGGCTAATGGAAGAGGAATGGGTGTCTTAGATGCAAGATATGAGGGTGGAAAGGAAGGAATGGCTGTGAATATTTAAAAACAAACAAAACTCCAACTAAAACACAACTTGCAAATGTATTACCAAAGTTAAGGTAGAAGACATCAGTTAGCTCACCTACAACTAAATGAGGTACATGAAGTCTGGGTCTTTGTTATGTCTTTGCTTCATTTGCTTTCCTCACTTTTGAGTTTGTTCCAGTCTTCCTTGGAGAAATTCCTTGTTTTTCTTCTGTAGCTCCCTGCAGGATGCAAATGTTAATAAGCTCAAGCACAGCAGGAAGGGTTGAATCCATCAGGAGAGATGGGGACTGCAAGGAAGATCAGCTTCCCTCCTGCTGTGTGACATGTGACACACGAACTCAGGGCTGTGGGGAGCCCCCTTACTCTAATTCAGCAAATCCAGCACTGCTGCTGGAATGTTTTCTTAGCTCTGTCGCTTAGTGGAGCAGTGGCTTTAGCAACAAAAAGCTTTAACAAATGACAGACAAATAGAAAGACAGAACCTCTTTCATGATTATGCTAGGCTAATCTGACATTGCTGGGTTCTTTATGGAATCAGTTTTTTTGTTAATTCTTTTAAAAAAGGCTTTTTTTTAGCCTAAAAGTGATGGTAGTAAATGTTTTGGGTGTTTTCCAGGGATATTGGGCAGAAGAATGCTTTCCATGGGTGTATTACTGGAGTTGACTTTCCAGCTCATGAGTGACACCTCCTGCCAATGTCATGCAATCCAATTTAGAATTTACATTTTTTAGTGTTACTATGAAACATCTCATGCTAAAGAAAGCTGAGAAGGGTAGACAAGACTGGGACATTCAGTGTTGCATTGCAAAAACTGTTTTACTGGCTTGTGTGAATTCTCCATACCTACTTTGTCACCCTGTTGCTTTCCTCTGGTCAAGGGTGTCCAGTTGCTTGCAGTCATTTTTAGCTCTCCTTGCTGAACGAGGGCCTTGCTTTTGATGTGCTCTTGGTGTCTGGTACTTCATGCCTTGGGGGAGAGAGAGAGAGCCTTGTATCATCTTGGGCTTATAGAGTGCCACCAGGGAGGTTTACAGACCTACTGCATGGGCCCACTTGCAATACATGGAGGTAAGAGGTTCTGGCTTCAAATTCTTTAATGCTCCTGAAGTCACTCATTTTTGCTGCACTTGGAAAAGAAACAGGTAAGTTGTAGGTGGCTCTCACTGGCCAGTAGCATAAATTACCTTTTCAAAAGTTCTAGTATTAGTCCAGGCATAAAAGCAAGCAAATAATTGACAGACATAAAGGCTGATTCTACTGGAAACATGTAATCTTGTTTACCTCTACCTGAGGAAAATGCACCTTTTGCAATCGTCATGAATTTCAGGAGCCCGAGCTAGATGCCATTTTCAGGCTACAATGACTAAACACCTCTACATTCCCCTCATCCTCCCAAGACAAGACCATCCTTTCCATGTGTGGCTGTTGGAGCTCAGCGGGCTGTAACTTGGTGGCTCTGCTGGGCCAGGTCCTGCTGCCTGGTGTTCCATTGCCCTGGCTTTGTATGAGTTGGGGTGAAATGTGCTCACTTTGCTTCTGGGCATGCTCTGCAGCTTCAGGGGCAGTCAGCATGGCAGATGGATGCAGGGAGATCTTGAAAGGTTGAATGCAGTGGTCCTGAAATGACAACAACCCATAGACTCGTATACATGCAGAAACTACGTGCTAAGACAATGGGCACACTCTTCTGGTCAGCAGAAGCTAAAATAAATGCTTCAGCAGTCCTGGTGGATAAACGAGCACCATTTATAGTGTCCATCCGAACTGCCTCAAGGGTGTGACTTGGGCTCCCTAAGTATCTATACATCTTAATAAAGTTAGCACATGATTTACAAGGAGATTTAAGCCAAAGCTTCAAAACTGATGAGAGATAACAGGAAATCTCCACCAGTTTACTTCAGTGGGGAAAAAAAATCCACAGAGACTGAATTTTCAGATGGGCTGTATTCCAGCTCTTTGAGTCTAGGACTCTTACAGAAGCATAAGCTGAATTCCAAGGCTCACTGTTGATTTAAAACAGTAGATTTAACCTCTTAAATGAATTGGGACATTGCAAAATAAATTATCCTTAGTTTCCCAGCTCATCAAAGCATTTCCATTCCTTTATTGTAGAGTGGGAATAATCTTTAGCCCATGATTAAAATGAAGCAGTGCTGTTGGCTGAAACAGAAACTGAAGAGCCTGGTAACATTGGCTTATCTTCTTCTTCAGAAAATTTTTTGACTTTGCTACCTTGTGATCATTAAGGAAGTATCTCTGAGTCCACAAGGGGCAAAATCTAGGCAAGTGGACAGTAACATGAACTGAGCAGAAATACTATTTCTGTTCTTTATTTTTCTCTGCTTGCACAACATCAGAATATAGATCAATGCTAAAAAAGCCCCACGTCTCCTCCTCCCCCCAAAGGAAAAAAAAGCCCACCAAAACCCAAAAGCAAACTCAAACACCCCACCGCAGGAAACAGCATGAGTAGCTAGATGGAAACCTTTCAAGAAAACATCACTCCTCTGCAGTGTACAGTAAGCACTCAAAACAGAGATTTCTTAAAATATCCTGGGTTGGAAATTCATCAAGGAAAGTATTCCTGTCCATAAGAAGCAAGGCTGTAAAAACATACAGTGTAACATTCACAGCAAAAGGAGGGACAGTTAATCCACCCACTTCTCTCAGGAGTAGGGAGGAAGATCTCTCCTTCTAAACAACATATTGTGAAATGCTCCTACATCACATGTGACATTTCTAGTTCTTGATGTGGAAGAATTCAGCTAAGAGAGGTTACAGCCAAGGCTATTCTGGTGCATGTAATTGTGAGCTGGAATGAGCTCTAGCACTTTCTGGACACTGGGTGTCAGTCTGCCACTAGTATTACAGCTAATCATGTCTGAGATTAAAACAAAAAAAGTTAAATGCACCAGAAACACTGTGAATTACATGTGGACCGTCTGTTCTAGTCTGACTACAATTCCACATCAGCTTTAAATAGTTGCTTAGGAAACATCTATAAATTATATGCTACTGAAAAAACAATCTATATATTCCAGTACAAATGCTTTTTCATTATGGAGCTGGGCCACAGAGAATACTTTCTTGTGATCTAAGTCATTAATTAAAGATTGTAATACCTCTCCTACTTTTTAAAGAGCAATTCTATCATTAAAGTGATATTGCTAGGGAAACTTGCTTTGAACAGAGGCAAGGTCCTTGTGAAGCAGGCAGTATCTCTTTTCCCCACTCCACACTAGTGATAATTAGAGCATAGTGGTGGGAATGCTCCTCTGTAAACCTCATTATGGCAAAGGTGCAGGACCTGGATTACATCTTAGTGTGGATGTCAGTAACTGGACTGCCTTTTTCTTGCCTCTCCCTAGCACATTGTAAGGTAAGGAAGTGGTGGTGAATAATCTGGCTTTTTGCTCTAAGAGAAGGTTGGAACTCATTTGCTATTACTAATGGGGTAAAAGCACTAATTACTTCAGTTTAAAATGTAGCATATTTTTTAAAAGGCACAGATATTATAGAATAACTTCACTTTTATAGATGTGCTGAAAAAACAAGTCACTCACTTTTGCAGAGCTCTGCCAGTGTGTTGTTGAGGGCTTCATGCTGTAAATCTCAAAGATCTTTTCTATAGGAATGCTGTTCTATGAAGAGAGAAGAGAGGTTCAGCTCTCAGAAGTAGCATTCGTTCAAGTGAATGGATGAAATCAAGCTCATATCCCCTTCTCTCTCATGAGCTCCTGGTAATGTTTCATACTGTTAGTACGAACCCATTGATCTGGTCCTGAAACTTGCTTGTCATTTTGCACTTGGCTGAGACAAGTACATGCACAGGACCACCTACTGAAACTGCCTATGTTGTTTTCTAAGGCTGAGCAAAACTTTATGGCTGCTTGGTAAACATGAGATGCATTTGTAATATTTGCACTGTCTGTATACTGTATTTTCAATGAACAAAGACATTTTAGGTATATGGAGTGTTTCTATTCTATCTGCCATAGGACAAAATATGCTGCCATCTTCCTTGGCCTCTTACCATTAGTATTCCAGCACATGAAGATAATATCATAGCTTCTCTCTCAATTCGGTTGGGATATGTGTATCGATTGTGAGCTGCAAAATTCCTGTACGGTGTTTTGAACAAGAAGATGATTAGCTTGGTATTATAAATACAAAAAGTAGTCCTGGGCTCAATTCTCTGCTGCTTTTACTCCATCTTCACACTGGTGTAAGTCACTGCACCAGCAGGACCTTGGCTTTGCAATACTCACATTTTCTCTCTTGTCAGTGTAGTCTGAGCATCTGAGTCACTTAACCACATCAAAGCAACACTGAGGGCTAAGTTGTAATGGGCCTGGAAAGACAGAAGAACCTCATGTGGTGTGTTTGACTGTAATTGCTTGACTGAAGACAGAAAGACCAGAGTATTGTAGGGAAAATGAGCTGTAACTACACTGGGTACCTCATGTTGTATGATACTCAAGGAGGTTTGAGATATTTTAAACATACACAGGAAGACTTTGTTCTCTTATTCACATACAGCTTTGATTTATGAAGAATAATATCTGTTTAGTTGACTTAACTTTATCAAAAGCCTTCTGCAAATGAGCTTTTCCTTGCTAAAAAAATCAGCAAAATCCTTACTTATCTTGGATACACTACACCAGGATTGGTTATTCACAGCTAATTTAAGAACTCTTTTCAGTAATGAGCTTTTATTGGCCATTGTAGGCACACATTATTTAGCTGTACCAAGCAACCACCTTCCAGAGTTCTCAGTAGCCCTGCAGTTAAAGAGGATAGGAAGTAGGAAGTCTGGTGATTACCATGTCATCTAGAAAGGTGGACTGCCTTTGTCCTCTTGGATCGAATCCTTTTTCTCGTAGTCTGATGCCAACATAATCTCCCCTTAAAGCAAGGAAACAATTCTGAATTACAGCTGCTTCTAAACAAACCAGTGCATAGGAAATGTAATAGATTACTCTAGAGCTGGTGCAAGACCGAGGCTAAATTTACTATAATTCAGGGGTAGGAGTCTGCTGCAGGATGTCTCACAGACAGTTCCCAAGTAGGAAAGCTGTTAGTTGTTTGCATCTCTGCTAATCTTAGCTTCCCTCAAACCCCACTGCTATCTTCTCCAAAGGCTCCAAAATATGGGAAGAAGTGCAAATATGAAACAATTACTTATAGTCTGGGGACTCAACAGAAGAATTTCACTGTACAGCCAAGAGACTGAAAGAGATGCTTTACTGGTGCTTGTCCTCACTCAGGACAGACCTGATTCTGTAACCTTTCCTCAGACTAAGTGCTACTGATCCATGCAAGCATTCCTAGGGCAGATGGGCACAGGACTTGTGTGGAATAGATGGAATACTGCTTACATCCCCTAGGAGTTGTCTGCTGGGCAATCCTGCATTGAAGAGCATGAGATGCTGCTGCATGAGCTAGGAGACCTCTTAGAGACAGCAGCTGCCCTGGCTGAATTGCAAGGGAACAACTCTGCATCCTGGTCGCTCTCAATGAGCAAGTTCTAGGCTGTCACATCTCTACTGTCACCTGTGCCATCAGGTCTCCCCCTGCAGACTGAATGTAACAAAATGAAGAGCATGACAAAGGAAGTTTGTTCATACTTTCCAGCAAGAGAAAACTAAGGTTTGAGAGCTGTCATCCACCTAGGTTCTACAAGCCTTTGCAATGAAAACAAGCCAATCTCAAGTGCAGTGAAAGTAACTGTGGGCTGGTACTACTTCCAGGAGTTTTTCTATCTGTTTCTTCAGGAGTTTTCTTTCCATATTCTGGTTGTCATTGTAACATCAACTCAGTGGATCTAGGAGAGAGAAAAATGCATCCTACAAAGTATCTCTGTCAGTGATTCTCTAAATCACAAATAAAGAGAGTGGAACACTTGGAGACCACCTACAAATATATAGAAAAACCATTTCCAAAGTATGATTAAAATAGGAGCTGAGAAAAACTTAGTCAAGAAAGAAGACAACATACACAGTACTGAAAGTGAGGGTAAAGAATTTAGTAATGGGAAATGGACAGAATGAGCCCATTTAAGATGAGAATCAGCCTTGAGCATCAGCTTGCACCTTGCTTTCATCCCCATCAGTGATGTAGATTTTCTCATATAATGCAATCTATTGACCCGCTGCTACTTCCAGTTCCTTAGCAATGCCTTCCTCTCCTTACTGTGTGTCTATTAATCAGATCTATGTGGCAGAAAGAGGGGATGGACTGGGAAGAAGACAGGATGTAAGAGATGAAGATACAGCAAAGAGAGAAGCCAGCACTTGGCCCACCAATTTATTGTAACATGAAAGTGCATGCTCTACTCCTCTGCACCATGATACACACAGCTGTTAATGAATATTGTCCCCGTATTCTCTATCTCATAAATGTACAGAAGAAATCATGCTCTACCTGTGTCATTTATTGCAATAGGCTTCAGGATTTGGGTTTGGAGCCTCTCTGACTTCAGGTATTTATGAAGAGGAATTCCCTCTTGATGCAGCTGTTCCTTTCTTGCCTCTGCCCCTCAGTTTGTGTGCCAGGGAAATTAGGCTATGCAGGATGGCTGGTTTCTCATGTTACTTAGAAACAATGCTGCTGAGCAAAAGAAAAAAAACCAGCAAATCAAAACCACCACAGAGAAGAGGTTAAACCTTCAACTTGTGTTATCAGTTTCAAGCTAGATAATACTTTTACACTTCTAGGCATTGAGTTTCACTGCTGAGTGGCTGGTTGGAAACCTAGCAGACTTGCTAACAAGAGAGGCAGAGACTACGGGGTTTTCTGATGGATCTAATTACTTGTAAATGAAGCTATCAACTTCTACTACTGTTTCAGAATTCTACCAAATGGAGCAGTGAAAAATTAGAGCTGATATCCCACCTTTCATTCCAGCTGAGGACTGGACTAAGTTATAATCAAGTTGGATTTGATTTCTGAGAGCATCCTCCCTGCAGGCATCATGGCAAACATGTCAAAAATAGAGCTGCTGTTTGTTTGCTCTGAGAAACACAATCTACTGTCTGCCAGGCATAACTCCACCAGTTACACTCACCCAGGGCTTATCTGCAGCTATGGCCAGGCGAGAGGGAAAAGTGACCTTCACGAAGTGAAGTCCGTGCCAGGACTGACCTGAAATCCTGCTAACCCAACTCCTCTCCTGTTATGTGGCAAAAGTGATACCCTGAGAAAGAAAGGGACTTTCCTGAAATGAGTCTGGTCCCTAGTCCTCGGGTGAGCTGATCCCTGCCATTTCACCCAAAGCAAGAAATGCTTCTGTATCATTGCAAGGTGGGAGAGGCCACTGTGTTTGTGCTCTTCCCCAGTAAAAATAAATAACATTTACTAGAGGATGGCTGGGGAAAAGGTGGGGGAACTGTGCCAGCAGGCGTCAGACTTTTAAAGTGTATTTCTCTGTTCTCCAATTCAGGACCTTCTTGAGCAAAAAATGTTGCCTTGGCAGTTAATAGCTCTTGCTTGTTTTTATCTTCTACAAATTTGTCCAATCACTTTTGGAGTAAGTGAAATTGAAATTTTGAGTAATGACATCTCTGCGGTATCTCCTGGTAAGGATTTCCACTGTTTCAACAGAGCTGTGTGGGAAAGGGTCTCTGGTTTTAAGAAGCCAACTGTGAATTTAATTTACTCACCAGTATGCTTAATAAACTTAGTAGAGAAAATTTAGGCCCCCAAACTGTGGAATTTGTCACACATGGAACATAGAATATGTCTTAGAGGATACTTACCTCTTTTGCCCACACCCATAGCACTAGCATTTAGTGGCAGTCTGTTTCCCTAGAGCAAGAAATAAGCTACAGGTGGTTCTGTGCACCTACAGAATTGTTACCCACTGTACATCTGATTGTCAGGATAGGTATGGAGGGTGTTTTGTCAATCTGCTACTTAATTAGGTTGGAATGAATAAATATATTTAATAATTGCCATTATCTAATGCTCATCTGCTAATAAAATAGGAGTAGGGCTTAGGACTCTTGCAAAGGGCTGCCTTTGTCTGTGGCAGAAGGTACAATGTTCAGGTGTTAGAAAGATAAATTACTTGTCAGTAGAATTGCCTTGCTGAGGTTTAGAGCTTGAAATATTTCAATAATCTCAGCTCCAGAGGGATGTTAACAAAGTTTGGGAGAAGGATATATTAGTGACAGTGGAAACAAAGAATGCAGAATTTACAAGCCACAAGGACATTTGGCAGAACTCCCAAGATGAGGAAGAAACTAACAAGACCAACTCAATAACTGTGCTGAAGTCAGCCCCAAGTAGATAGAAGGTAATTCTGGCAAGTTTAGATTGCGACCACCAACTCATGAAATTCACCAACTCAAAAGAAGAGACTGAGCACATAGACTATAATAGTAGATAGAATACTAATTAATCAGAGAACTATGTAACTTGTAGCCAATTAATATTAATGCCTTTGTTTACTAAATGTATGAATAGCGATAGTTTTTGATAGTAATTTTGCTGGCTTAGCGGATTTGACACCCAGCACTCCTTTCTGTGCAAAATTGTACAAAAATCAAATACGTCACCTCTCTGTGGGGATCGGCCTCTGGCATACCACGTAAAAGAATCCATTTTGGGAAAACAGACATGTTTTTAGCAGCTTTATTCCCTTGGTACCTCCACTGTAAATTGATTTTCAAAATATTTCGCTGCTTTTCCTGTATGTGTCATTTCCTTAAAATATTTAACATCATTACACCAGCACAGGTAATGTCAGCTTCTTGAGGGCAAATTCAGGGGTGTCTGGAAAACAATGCCTTAACTTGGACTGAAGTGTGAAATACGTACGAAGAAAAGTAATTCCTTTTAATGGTCACATTTAAGCGTCTTTCTCACAGCTGAAAACCACAAACACCTATTTTGAGTGGCGTGTGTCCTTCAGAAGAACGCTCGGCCTTTTCTGAGGCGTTCCAGGAGCGGCTGAGCTCTGTGGGGCCGGGACGGGTGGCGGCAGCGGCGCCGCAGCGCTGGGCGCTGCCAGCCCGAAAGGCGGCGGCCCCAAGGAGCGGGCGGTACAGCCGGGGCCATGAAAGCGGGGGCCCCGTGAGGGCGGGGGCCCTGTAAGGGCGGTGGCCCCATGACGGCGAGCGGCTCAGCCGGCCCCGGCGGAGCGCAGAGGAGGGGCCGCTCGCCGCCACCGTCCTGCGGGGCGGGGCGAGGGGCGGGCCGCCCGCCGGCCGCGGCATTCGAAAGTCGCTTGGCGGCCAGGGCTTCCTCCTCGTTCTCCTCTTCGTTCTCCTCCTCCTCCTCCTCCTCCTCCTCCTCCTCCTTCTTCTTCTTCTTCTTCCGGGGGTTTGCGCGGGGCTGTGCCGGGCCGAGGCGCTGCTTCTCGGGGCAAGTGCGAGCCTTAGCCGGTAAGGGCTTGCGGAAGGGAAATACGGGCGCTGACCCTGCTCGGTGTCGCTCTCTTCAGCGATGGCTGCGTGGGAGGCCGCCGAAATGTCCTTCTTCAGTCTGAGCGACGTGAGAGAGCGGATGCGGGAGAAGAAAAAGGGTGCTTTGAGGACTGCGAAGTTGAATGCCTCGCTTGCATCGAAAATCAAGACGAAGATCATCAGTAAGTGTATTTTGCGTTGCGGTGTGTACATGTGCTGGCTGCTGTGTCAGCTCATACCTGGGCCTTTGGCCGTGGCGTCGGGATTGGGTGGCAGTCCCTCACCAGAGCTCATGCATGTGCTGCTTCCCAGCTGCTTCTCTGCCCGGGGGCTTCGAGTGAATTCAGTGCCCTGCAGAGAGTGTCAAGTGTCACTAGAGTGCCCAAAGGTGTCTGAAGTATTTTAGTGTATGTGCAATCCTCTGTAGAAGCTAGGCCAACTGACTTGTTTTTTATGGGCAAAGTAGTGCAAGGATGGAAAGGAGATAATTTGGACTATCTTGAGGAATTCAAATATTTTCATTATTTTTATTTTATTGTTTTGAAATTTGGAAACAGGCCTAAATCTACTCAAGGGCAACTGCAGAGGAAAATAGTTTTTTGCCCATTTTTTGGATGGTGATGAGGTGTTATCTATAGGTCACTTATTCAAAGCAAGGAGCATATATTTTTAAACTCAGCACTTGAATCATGCCATCATTCATTAAGAATTGAAGCAGTAGCTTGCTGCCTCTGACCCACTGAGGGTAAAGAAGGTATCTGAAGTGTTGCATGTTATTATGAAAATGTTTTTCCTGCTGTTTTCTCTGGAGACTTCTATTGCTGGAAGGAATAAAAGATGCTGATTTTGTGAGGGGGCTGTTGAGTTGTAGAGATCTGAATGTGAGGAAGGCTGGTCTAGGAAGGAAAAGAATTATGATGAGGGGAGACGTATGGGTGAGAACTTGGATGCTGATGGTGTGTGATTCTGCTCTGTCTCTCACAGACAACTCCTCCACTATGAAAGTCTCCCTAAAGCAGAACAATAAAGCATTGGCTCTAGCCCTCAATGCAGAGAAAGCCAATGCACAGCGGCTCACCCAGGAGAAGACCGTCTTACAGAAGGAGGTGAAGCAGTGCCACTTCCAGAACGCTGTGCTGCGGCACAGGCTCTCCTTCCTGGTATGGCACTAACTCTGTGGCTGGCTTGGGGAGGGGTGGTAGGCAAGGTGTGCTGCACTAGCATCTCAGCCGTGGGAGGATTGAGCTGTTGTTTTTCAATGTCTGAAGTCTCAACAGATGGAAAAGGTCACCATTGATTTGCTTATTTTTGTTTCCAAAACAAAATGTGTTCTCCCCAGAACATGCCTTGCTCTGGCTACTAGTATCCTTGTTGGAAGAGATGTTTTAATTTAATGTCTTTGTGGCTTCTCTCTCTTTATTACCTCAACACAGAATAATATGTTGAAAAAAATGGACAATCTTATGGCTGCAGTTAAGATGGCCGAGCTGTCTGAGGTAAACCATGGGAAACACAACCATACTGCTCTGGGAAGGGGGCTGTGTTTTTCTGTCTTTTGCTTTGTGTTGCCTGCTCACTTCAGTGTTGAATGCTTCACCTGTTTTTCTTTGCTTGCTTTAGTTGTGTTGGCAACATCCTTGTTTTTAGCTTGGTGTTAAGGATTTCCAGGGTAACTCTTTCTGTAGGAAGAGCTATAGTTTTAAACTGCTTTCCTCTGGATTATTTGCTGTACTGGCAGTAGGCTTTTCTGTTCTGACAGGTTGTGACTTCGTTTCAGTTTCTTTTTTGAAGTATTGCCATGGCAACTTGAGATAGGGAATAGGACACTTTCCCTGTGTCCTGTCTCATGGGTGGATGGGAAAATACTTCTGCTTCCTAGTCTCAGGTTATCCGAACTAGTTTAGCTCTCCTTAGGCTGTGGAGACTCAATTGCAGCAGAATCAGATTGTTTCCATAACATGGGAGGGTTGCTGCAGTACTTTACATACTTTCCAGAGAAAATGCTTCTACAGGAGCTTCTGATGTTTCTGTGCAGGAGGCTGCACGAGGGATTTCAAGAACTTTAAATCACTCTTCTATTTTTCTCTTCTTTCCAGTTCCATACAAATTCTCCATCCTTGGTCAGTGGCCAGAAGAGCAGCATGACTGAAGATAGCTGGGCTGATGATATTGCAGATGGTCAGCTTCTGAGGTGGGCTTTAAAATGATATCAGCAAGCTTGTCCTGAATTTCTGTATGCTAAACTTGTATTTTATGTGTGTGCCCAGTTGCCAGTTCCACATGAGATAGCTTCTCTGAACCACCACTGCTTGATGCTTTCTTTTATTCTGTCTTTTTATTGCCACTCCTCGCTTTGTTTGTCCTAATGCTGGGTCTGTGCACAGACGGGTCTTTTTACCTCCTTTATTTGAGACTGTGTTACTTTTAGGCAATTTTCTCTTTGCAGCTGGTAAGCATAGCACGATTTGCTTGAGTGAGTGAGTGCCATAGCTGGCACTTTGATGCTTGTTACATAAAAATTCTTAATAGTCACCTGCTTGTATGATGTAAGCTTGCATTCTGGGAAGATGGTCAGAGCAGGATCTCTTAAAGTGTATTTGAAGTCCTGTTTCTCCTCTGTCTAGTCTCCGCTTTGAAGACAGGGCAGTCCTTGGAGCTGCCCACACGTGGTCTATAGTTGGTCTGCTGGATTCCGTCTAATGCGTGCAACATGATCCATTGCTGCTATTCCTTCTCACCAGGGTTACACAGATGCCAATGAGAGTGCCCATTTCCAAGCTGTATGATGCAGAGCAGCAAGCTGGCAGCTCCACAGTAGCACAAACATCCTCAGGAGAACTTCAGAGATCTGTTTCTAATGAGACCCTAAAAACTGTGCCTGTTGCCTCCAAAGATACTTTGCCACCACAGCACGATGAGAAGCTCCAGTTCCACCAAGAAGAGAATGGCAAGAAGGTGACTGAAGCAACAGCAACAGAGGAGGCTTTTCATGACTGTCACATCTTTGGAGGTAAATTTTATATCTCTTGCTGTTCTTCTTGTATGACTTTGTGTCTGTGCTCAGAAATGCATGCGTGCCATAGCTCCAGTTAGCTCTCAGCCACAACCCCAGTAGCTCCTAATGATTGGTAGGAACTGCATGCTCCACTGCATGCTTGTTATTGCTGGAGTTATGTATATCCCAGAATCAGAGTCTTCAGAGGCATATTTGCAGTAGGTCAAGCTCACAAATCAGGCTTTTTGAGTAATAGGCACTGGGCTTACATAAGATTTCTGGAGATGTCTGAAAGTGCAGAATCTGTCTAGGTGCACCACTTTTTCTTGTGGATTTGCCATATAAATAAGTGTTTCTAATATTATGGCTGGTTAGGGTATCTTGCTTTGAGCTGCACTTTTGTTCAGAGGGAAGCCAACTAAGCAAATCTGGTACACAGTAAATTTGAGGAGTCTCTGTAGAGCACAAAATTATGCTTTTTCTATGCTCTGGATTTGTGGCAGTGTATGGAGCAAGATTTTTAGTGGTATGGGGAAAGATGGCATTTTCCTCCTGCATTTCTCAGCCTAAGACATGAATTTTTTCTTTCCCACAGAGGTCTTGTGCACCACTGAACAAAATCCCAACAATTTGCCAGCACTTGCCTGGGAAAGTCATACTCTTTCATATGAGGCTGATGAGATGGTAAAACACTTTTTTGATCGTCCCTCACAAGGGCACGTTACTCTGAGGAGAAAGCGTTCCACCCTGTTTGCTACAAGCACTCCATCTTCTGCTCTGGATATCTTACCACGTGTCAGTTCCACTCAGGCAGCTCAGGGTACTACTGCACAGGACAACAGCAGTTCCAGCAAGAACAACACACAGCAACAGCTGAGATCTCCCAGCTCCCTGGCTTCACCTGCTCAAACTGCTGTTATTTCTCATAGAAACTCTGTGGGTAAAGAGACCTTCTGTGAGCAGCCACAGACAAAAGAAACGGAGTGTGGTGTTGAAACGGATCCCAGCTATAGCCAAGCCCCTGAGGTTTTTCCTGTAAAGGTTAAAAGCAAAGGTAACTGTAAAACCAGAGAGAAAAAGACTGGTAAGAAAGCAAGAACAGGAAAAAAGGAAACAACTTCAATTAAAAACAATGCAGAAAGTAGTCCTGATAGATCTCAAGTTGAAGAGTGTGCTCAAAATACAAAGAAACTTCTTCAGCCAAAAGCTGCAACATCTTGTAGTGAGACTGAAGTCTGTGAGATGGGGCAGAAGGCATGTGAGGGGGCTTTTGACAGGAAGAATAGAGACTGTGGTGTGGAGCACCATTCCCACTCTCCTGAAGGAGTCCAAGACTTTGCAAGTACATATGAGGTGAATCCAGCACAGCTGCAGAGTCTTGAAAGAGTTGACTTAATGCAACAGGTTAAGAAGGGACCTATCTTTGAGATGCAAAGTATGGAGAGCTTGCCAAAACCCCCAGTTCACACCTTCTCAAGTCATGAAGTTCCCTCAGATGATTTCAGTCTACAAAATTCTACAAAATTCTCAAGTGTGAGTAGAAAGAGCATCAGACAGAAAATCAACAGAAAAACTAGAGTAATTGGGCAAAGAGATGATTCTGATGAGGAATATCTGCCAAACAGTGTGATAATACCAGAGGCCAAAGGTGAAGAACAGCTTAAAATAAACCAAAGAAGCAGGAAGAATAGTGTCAGGAAAAGCAATTGTGATCAGGGAAATGAAGTTAATGTTTTTAGGCCCTCGATAGATGTTCAAGGAGCAGCTAATGAGAGCACAAAGGATTTGCCAGGTAATCTTAAACAGCGCAGGGAAACGTATATTGTCCATCCTTTGAATCTTGCAGGAAACTTGGGTTGTTTCCAGACAGAATTTGAAGGGGGTGAAAATATTCTTCCCAGGTCTCTTCCTGGGAGCAAAGTAAGCAAAATCCCCAGAGCTGCTAAGAGCAATAAAAAACAGACAGGGGGCCTTCAAAAAAAAGGGCAAGGTGAAGTTGACAACACCATGAATGCTTTGAAAAAAGAAGCCTCTTGCAAACCCATACCTCAGAGGAAGAGGAGCAACTCTCGACCTCCAGAGACTGATTCTCTGGCCAGAAAAAGTGATGGTGCCAAGGTTCTCATTGGAAGTACCACAGGACTTGCATCCAAGCAAACTGTCCTGATGGGGAAGTTTTCCTGCATTACACATCTGCTGTCTGAGCCAGACACTTTCCTGGATGAGCAGCTACCGGACATATCACTTGCAGATAGTCTTACAGACCTTTCACACAATGTTGAATCCTCCCATGTGAGCAGTTCTGCAGTTCTGCCTGTCAGCTCCAGACTTACAGAAGTACCAATTTCCAAGAGCTTAAGTACTGAGGGCAAGAGAATGCCAGAAAAATCACATGTTGGGTTGAAAAACTCCCTGATATTTAAAGAAAAGACTGCAGAGGACATAGCTGAGGAAACGAACCAAGTCCAGTCAAGTTCTTGGAGCTCATCTTCAGAGAAATCTGGTAGGTGGTAAGCTGGGGAAGGTAGCTGTATTTAGAAATGAGGGCAAAAACTCCATGCAGTAAGTGTTTATATTTTCCTTCCTCTCCTCTCTTTTTTCTGAGTTTAAAGATCAGTCTCCAGTACACCATTTATACTTCTACTTGTGCTAGCCAGTTGTTTCTGTGGCTGCATTTGCTTCTAGTTTATCAGCATTTCTATAAGAATTTATGTCCACTTGTCCATGTGTAGATGTTGGGACAAGACTAGCAGCATGTGCTCAATCTTCCTTTACCACTCTTGTTATCAAGAGGGTATGCCTATTTAGAAAATAAAGTACTCAAGCAGTTCAAAAGTCTTATTTGATGCTGACCCTGCCTACTAGGGTCAGTCAGTATTACTGGGGCACAAAATATCAAAAATATGGCAATTTTTTGGTCCAGAATGGTTAGTGCTGCAAGATGTCAGACTTTATACCTCTAGGTGATATCTTCACTGGAAATTAATCAGGAGCCAACGTAAATTATTGTGGTTTTGTTTTTTTTAGAAGGATTTGGAGGGTGTATCCCTGGGCTGGTAATACAATAGTTAAGCTCACCCCTTTGGGGAGTTTGCTGTTAATGGATACTCTGTAAAGAGAGTAGTTTTGTGGGGTTTTCCTTTCTGTAGCTGTTTACAAACAGGCCTGTTACAACTGGAGTAGGCTGTACTTTATAGAGAGGAAGTTTGTTCTCCTGCCCTTCTCCTTTTGCCTGACTCCACTTGGAAAGGTGCAGTGACTGCTGGCATGGTCCTGTGTCTTGCTGAAGTTGGTAGGTTGTTGGTAGGTTGTTTGTGTGCCATAAACTTGCTCCTGGGCATTACAGCTACCAAATAGAGTTTTTATATCATTTTTCTACTACACCAGAGCCCATGATACTATTAGTATTAGTGATCTGTGATTAGTGATTTTTTCACTGAGGGACCTAATTTGATTTATGAGCTGACTTTTGAGGAGCAGGTCTGGTATTTTTGGATTAAAATGGTCTCCTGAGTTTAGAGGGAATATGATTAGATTCTGGATTGTGCATGTTCAGAGAAACCTGGTAATGCAGCTCTTTCTATTTGGCAGCTGTTATTTCTTAGGATGTCTGGAAATGAATTAGAATCCCTTTGATCAAGCCATGTGAATGTCTCCCTTTGCAGATATCAGGCCACTACGGGACTTGAACAATACCAGGGTTCTGTCTCCCTCCAGCTCGGAGGAAGCATCAGGGCGCTCATCCCGGCGGAAAGTGAAGCCAATCTGCTACAAAGAGCCACCACTCGGGAGGTTGGGCTTTAAACTATTTCTTCCAAACACTCTTCCCATGCTGCAACCCCTGCTCTGCTCTCATATACTAACTCTCCAGGGCTGGACCCTCTGTGGCTATGTTCAAAGTTCTTCTTACCCTTTGTGTTCTGTGACCCTCCTCTTCTACCACTGTGTGGTTATGCCAGAATTCTGCATCAGCACACATGGATGTTTAGGCTTCTGGTAACAAGCTACTAAGGATGTTATTTTACTTGTTGAAATGAGCACATCTCTTGTCAGACTGCATCTGTGGTACTCCAGTGTTAATGAGGCAGTAGCATGAGGATAAAATACAGGCTAAAGACAGCTCAGCAAAAATCCTGATTTCATTTACTTTCTGTGATGACTAAAATTTTACACACTTGAGTAGTACTTTCCTTCTGAGACCAGACTGTATCTATATTCACTAGCAGATATGATACCTAAACAAATAGCTGCATCTTTCCCCTGGGAAACTGTAGCTTCAGTACATCCTATGGCTATTGCAGAAAGTCGTGTACTCGTAAAATTACAACAACGTTGTTATATAATGGTACTGAGTGTGTTTTTCCCTGCGAAGTGTCCCAGTTTGAACTTTCAATGAATAGCTGGTTGAATTGCACCAGAAAGTGTACTGGACAAAAACCAAACTGTAACACTTAATCATCTTATAAGAAAGAACTGCACTAAAATCAGAAACTTTAGGGACTCTAATCATACATGTATTCAAGGAATACTTGATGATTCAATTTAACCCTTTTGGTTCTGCAGGAAACTGAGGCAGGGTGACCCATTTACAGATAGCAAGTTCCTCCACTCTCCTCTCTACAAAAGAAAAAAGAAGCCTGTCAACACCAAGGAAATGACCAAGAAGATGAACGAGAACAAAGAATCACTTCCTGAAGGATGTCCCAGTGCCCAGGCAGGCAAGTTCATAACAACAGAAAGGAGTCAGGATTAGAATAGTGGTTGAAAGGCAGCCCCAAGCTCCTAGAAACTCGTGCGTTTAGCTGCAGGGCTCCAACTTTGAATGCAGAGGCATGAGCAAAGATGGAGGTGCCTGACCAGACAGGTGAACTATTCCAACTAAGGCAACCCAAGGACCAATTTGATAAATCAAGCCTTGTACTGTGGATTTCTTCCGTTTTCAAATCTTTGGGACTCATGGGTGGGGAAAGTGGTTCATACAAATTGATGGATGTCTGTTTTAATGGCCCTTATGTGCTGTATGATTAGCCCCTAGTTATCTTCTGCTTCCTTGCTGTTCTCTCCCCCTGTCTGCCATGTAAAACTCCATTCAGCAGAAGATGAGCCCTATACCAACCAACAGTAAGGAGTATTTGAAACAGAGGCTATGTAGGACCAGACCTAAGCATGTCTTGTCTCAAACATTCTGAGTATTGCTACAAAAAAGGTGATCAGAGGAGAGGGTTCCATGGGACAGAGCTATTTAAAAACATCTACCCTTGTCCTAAAGTACCTACCCCCTTCAGCTTTCTTATAGCCCCTTGAGGTACTGGAAGGTGTGACAAGGTCTCCCTAGCACCTTGTTTTCCAGGCTGAACAACCTCGGCTCTCAGCCTGTCTTCATAGGAGAGGTATTCCAGCCCTCTGATCATCTTTGTGTCCTCCCTCTGGTTTTGCTCCACCAGGTCCATATATCCCTCTTAAGCTGGGAATCACAGAGCTGGACAACAGTACTCTAGATGGGGTCAGTTGTGTTTCAGGAGATCCTATACGCTTCCATTGCAGACTGAGCACCCACTGGTTTCAAACACTTGGTTTTTTTTAGGGTCTACTGGTAAAACTTTGAAAGTTTGACTCTGAATGTTTGAGAGAATGGTGGAGAAAAGAAGGGATCAAATTGATAGCGAAAGGGAAAGAAATGTGCCTGTTTGGAAGCAGGCGAAGTGTTTCCTCTTTGTGGCAGAGCGAGGAGAGGGCTGCTCTTTTCTTCTGACCATACTTACTGCTTCTCCTTAGCACCTCAGCAACATCCATCAGTTCATGAGGATAGGCTGGGTCTTGCTGTACTCTCTGTACTCAGAGGACTTCAGAAGATGGAAACTTCATTAGTAGAGGGAGAATAGTGTCATCTGCAGTCAGGTAAATGTTACTACATAGCTTACATTTAAGCTGTTCTGTTAAGTTATTAAAACTAGGAAAGAAAAAGCCTAAGATTCAAAAATGCCCTCTTATGTTTTTGTTTTCTGGTACTTTGTAACTCTGGAATCCAGGTAGGAGCTAGCAAATAACAAGGAATTTGTTAGAGGTGCTGTTGTATTAGAACGTGCCTGTGTTGACCCACTGATGTCAGAAGCCAGGCAGGAACATAGATCTCCAACTGTACAGTAATTGTTTTCATTGCCTCTATGGGTCAGAAATGGGACTTTTCCCAGCTGCGCTTATGTGCTTGTGCTAATAAGAGAATGGTAGACTGTATTAATTCACATTGAAGGTACAGAGACAGCTGCTAGCAGTTACAGAGCTGTGTTTCAAACACAAGGAAATACTAGCTCCTTTAGTCTAACATTGGTATTTCTATCCTGATCACCACCTATAGTAGTCAGCTGGAGGGGGAGAGTTTGTTCATGTGTAACTAGTTTCTGTTTTGCTGAGCGCTGATGTATTAGTTTGTATTACTCTCCAAATAAACTTTCAATGCAAGTGGTATCTTTGAATTCTTGTATAGCACCTGATGCTTACCATGACACTACACATGACAGCTTTGCCTAGGCCAGAACAAATTAAAACTCTTCTAAGAAGGGAGATACTTTGTGTTTATATCACATTTCAACAGTCTGTCCCAGCATGTACTGGACTGTGCTGAAAGCTACTGGAGTCTCTCTGAAGCAGTTTCCCCTTATCTGCTAATCGCACAAAGGAAGGAGACACAAAGAATGTTAGTTGGCTTTTATTTTAGTCTGAATTAAAAATATTTCTTAAAAAAAACCCAACACACAACCATGGATGGAATAAGTTTTCACAGTCATGATCTGATTTGCTGTAAGACAACAAGGGTAATAGCCCAGACAATTGGAGAAGAGTTTGCACCTTTATGAATCGTGGGGTGAGGGAAAAGGTTAACAGTTCCTATGCTTCACATCCAGTCAGAAGGAGCATAACTAAATGCATGGCCTGCATTTAGACACTGCAGCATGGCTTTGGTAGGCTCTTAGCCTATAAGGCTTGTTTCCAGCATTTACTAAGTGCTAGTCAAATGCTACAGTCCTAACTGTAGCAGTGGAACCAAATCCCTTGGTATCAAGGTACTGTGCTCTGGTTGGCACTACAAGATAAATTCAGGAGGTGTGGTTGAGCTGGCAGAGCCCTCTGAGCTCACTTACACTCACTGGGAAGTATTGGACAGAGGAGGACGGAATTCATTTCTGTGGGCTGCTGGACAGTAGGTCACTGCTGGTTTGACCAGAGCTGTGACACAAACTGGCCTTCAGACTGAGAAGAAGAGATAAACATAGATCAAAGTCACAGAGAAAAACCCCAGGAATCCAGACCCATACCAAGGTTTTATCAAATTCATCTGCTTAGCAAAAGTAGGGCTTAACCCAGCAGCTCAAAGGGTTACAGAAAACATGATTTTCTAAAAGTTTAAAAAGTGTCTATGTTCATTTTTATCTAGTGTTTGAGTGTTACACAACAAAGTACAATACAGAGCCACTTACACAAGCAATGACAGAAAGGCCAGGTACATGTTTTCTCCAATATCCTAAAGTTCCCATTAACTCTTGTAATTCTTTCTTTGATGGGGGCACTTGTATTTGTTCGAATTCCTTTAAAGTGTCTGGAGGAACTACTGCATTGCCTGCATCTACCAAGTACCCAAAATTTTTATTTTTTTACTTGGTCCTTGACATTTTTCAGGCAGAACTTAAATTTCTGCTTCATGTAATGCTTCCCATTACTGCTGCTGCTTCTCCCACTTTTTCATGGGAATATCCTTCCATTAGAGTATCATCTATATATTGGTATAGTTTCACATCTAGGGGGAGTGAGACTGTAAAAATTCAGCAAGATTGAGCAATCACAGGTGAATGTTGGTAACCTGGAGGGCCCCTATTAAAAAACTAAAACTGATGAGAAAACAACTGGTAAGAAAGCAAGAACAGGAAAATAACAACTTCAATTAAAAACAATGCAGAAAGTAGTCCTGATAGACCTCAAAGTGAAGAGTGTGCTCAAAATTCAAGAAGCTTCTTCAGCCAAAAGCTGCAACATCTTGTAGTGAGACTGAAGTCTGTGAGATGGGGCAGAAGGCATGTGAGGGGGCTTTTGACAGGAAGAATAGAGACTGTGGTGTGGAGCACCATTCCCACTCTCCTGAAGGAGTCCAAGACTTTGCAAGTACATATGAGGTGAATCCAGCACAGCTGCAGAGTCTTGAAAGAGTTGACTTAATGCAACAGGTTAAGAAGGGACCTATCTTTGAGATGCAAAGTATGGAGAGCTTGCCAAAACCCCCAGTTCACACCTTCTCAAGTCATGAAGTTCCCTCAGGTGATTTCATTCTATAAAATTCACTTTTCTTGGTGAAAGAGACCTCCAGTGCCTGTGCTTTGCAAGAGGACTCAAGTGTGATTAGAGAGCATCAGACAGAAAATCAACAGAAAAACTAGAGTAATTGGGCAAAGAGATGATTCTGATAGGAAGTATCTGCCAGTGTGATAATACCAGAGGGCCAAAACTGAAGAACAGCCTAAAAGAAGCACAACAAAGCATGAGACAGGGCCACTTACACTCTCATGTAAGTGGAAGACACTTTGTTAGGGGAGCTTGAGTAGAACCCATGCCTTAAGCTTTGGGCATAGAGGCCAGCTTCTGCTTCAAGTTTTCAGCAATCTTGTCCATGAACTCAAAGGTGTTCAGGTAATCAGAGCGCGTGACACTGGCAGGGGGAAACAAAACAAGACAGATATTAGTTGTGGAGACTCTCAAGTAATCAAAGCAGGGGAGGACTATTTGAAGAACTCTATGTTTTGCCTCTAAAACCAAAAGAGTTCTCTCCTACTCATCAGGCTGGGTTTTTTTGCCAAAAGACTGGGAAGAGGTAGCCAGGATATATTTTACAGTTACATAGGTCTTCTACATTTATTGAGATCTGGCCAACATAGCTAGACTGTCATACAAAAATACAAATCTTTGGAGTTCCTTCTTTTTTCTCTCATTCATTTGGTGCAATAGCAGGGAGAGAGCAATCTGGACTAAGCTGCTTGGGTCAAGGAACATCTCATGTTCTGTTCGTACAGCCCTGGGTACAGGTGAGTCCTGTGAGATAGACTCCTGTTCTTTACCATACTAAAAATAACATTCCAGAAATGCTGTTCACAACCACCACATAAAACAGGCTCCTCTAAGCATAGCTGGTTATTTCATACACTTACTTAGGCAGGCCTTTGATGCAGGCAGCAAGATCCTTTGTCATGAAGCCAGATTCGATGGTCTCAATGCAGACTTCTTCCAGGGCAACTGCAAAGTTCCCGAGGCTAGTGTTGTTGTCCAGCTTAGCTCTGTGAGCGAGGCCTCTTGTCCATGCGAAGATGGAGGCTGAGAGAGAACACTGGGTTATTCTGTCCATCTAGAACTTCCTGAAAGTTACTCCAAATCATCATGTGGAACAAAAATTGGATTTTTTAATACCAATAAAATGGAAAGCAGACTGAAAAAAAGATAGAAAATTTGGTATGGGAAAGAACACTTATCTTCATCTAAGTATCCTTTGCCTTTTGTGCAACTCTAAAAAAAGCAAAGCAGACCTCAGAAACTACTCACTGCCTCCAGTAATCTCTTTATGCATGTCATTTTATTTTTGTCCTGCCCAAGTCAGAAAGAATGACAGGTGGTAGGACTCTGTAGTAACAGAGCATATTGTGACAGAAGAGTGCAGTCCTTTTCCTAACACTACATTATGCTCTGGTCTCTATTTAGAGGATTTAGCAAATTTAGAGGATTCTTTCCCTCATACCCCATTCCAAGTGCACTTACACTTCGAGTGTGTACATGGCTTGAAGTGTGGTTGGTTCTTCTGGGCCATCAAAGAGAGGAGTAAAATAAAAAACAACCAAACTAAACCTTAAGGCCTTGTGGCTATAAACTAATTGTTTCCTGAAGAGTGAGTGCATCTCTCTCAAAGGCTAGGTTAGGTCTAGTTTGTTGCTTGCACTCACTCCATTCCAGCCTGTTTTTTGCTTTAAGCTGTAGCTGTGTCTCTAGAGACCCAGAGAAGCTGACTAAAGTCATGAGAGGACTGTGGAGGTGTATTCCCTCACCTCCCTCAGGTCAAACTGTGATCTGAGAAATGCTCATTAGGCCTTGGCCTTCACAAACCATATGTGGACTAAGCCCTTCTCGAGCTTATCAGAAACACAGGAACTAATCACCACACAGAGTGTGGTTCTTTTTTTTAATGAACAGCCTTGAAAAGGTGTTTTTCTTGCCTGAA